ATCAGCTATTCTAATTGAACCAAGAATTCCATTAACTCCCATCAAGATGTTTCCTGAATGAAGATCTCGATGGATCAGATTGTTATTATGAATTTGTTCAATTCTATATGATATTTAATTAATTAAGTAAACATACAAATAAACTTAATTAAACTCCATAAATCAAATACATACCCTGATGCAATATAATATAATCTTTCTAATTTTGTTTGCCAAGTAATTTCATCGATATTTAGCATTAAGTCTTTATGTAAACTTCCATCTTCTGCAAATTCGAGTACTATAATAAAATTATTAGTATTAGGATCTCTGGTTATTCCATAACATTGTAAAATAAAATCATTAGAACTTGTTATTCCATAGGATATTATCTATTTAATAATAAAATTATATTTAATGAACATGATTTGCATTTTAAAAAATATATATGTGTAATATGAATAGACATACTTCTTTCAAAAAATTATTTGTTATATCCTTAGAATTATGTAGATTTTTAAGTGCTACCTTTATTTCATTTATTCCATCTTTGATCCAAATAGCACTGTTCACTACACTAAAACCACCTTCTGCTATATATTTTATATCTTTAAATTGAGAGTATGGAATCCAGTTTATGAACTCACTTGTCTTTGTTTTTATTTTCTGAACCATTCTAGATCCAGTCTGTTGCTCTTGTGTCGTTTCAGTTATTGAATGGTTCTTGCGTTTCTCTATTTCTATTACTAGATTTATTACAGAAACATCATCTGAATTTATTTTCAATATTTTATTAAAATCGTCAAGTGATTCTTTGTATTTATTTAGAATCTTGTAGGTTTCCCCTCGTGATCTTAATGCAAGAGTATTATTTGGTTCTGATTCTAATAAATTATTAAAATCTGTTAATGCATCATCGTACTTTTCTAACTTTTGGTAAGTTTCTCCTCGTAATCTTAATGCAAGAATATTATTTGGTTCTAATTCTAATAAATTATTAAAATCTATTAATGCTTCGTTATGCTTTCCTAACTTTTGATAAGTTTCTCCTCGTAGTCTTAATGTAAGAGTATTATATTGTTCCTTTTTTAATAAATTATTAAAATCTGTTAAAGCATCATTGTAATTTTTTAACAATAAATAAGCTTCTCCTCGTAGTCTTAATGCAAGAGTATTATTTGGTTCTAGTCTTAGTGATCTTTTGAAATCTGATAATGCTTCATTATACATTTCTAGCAATAGATAAGCTTCTCCTCGTAATCTTAATGTAAGAGTATTATTTGGTTCTTTTTTTAATGATTTATTAAAATCATTTAATGCTTTATTATACTTTCCTAACTTTCGATAAGTTTCTCCTCGTAGTCTTAATGAAAGAGGATTATTTGGATCTAGTCCTAATGATCTCTTGAAATCTGATAATGCTTCATTATACTTTTCTAGCAATAGATAAGTTTCTCCTCGTAATCTTAATGTAAGAGTATTATTTGGTTCTTTTTCTAATAATTTATTAAAATCCGCTAATGCATCATTGTACTTTTCTAACAATAGATAAGCTTCTCCTCGTGACCTCGATACAAGAGCGTTATTTGGTTCTTTTTTTAATGATTTATTAAAATCTATTAATGCATCATCGTACTTTTCTAACAATAGATAAGTTTCTCCTCGTGAACTTAATGCAAGAGCATTATATGGTTCTATTTCCAATATTTCATTATACTTTTCTAACAATAGATAAGCTTCCCCTCGTAATCTTAATGTAAGAGTATTATTTGGTTCTTTTTCTAATGATTTATTAAAATCTATTAATGCTTCATTATACTTTCCTAACTTTTGATAAGTTTCTCCTCGTAGTCTTAATGCAAGAGTATTACTTGGTTCTTTTCCTAATAATTTATTAAACTCCATTAATGCTTCATCATGCTTTTCTAACTTCTGGTAAGTTTTTCCTCGTAGGCATAATGAAAGAGTATTATTTGGTTGCATTTTTAATAAATTATTAAAATCTTTTAATGCATCATTGTACTTTTCTAACAATAGATAAGTATCTCCTCGTAGTACTAATGCATAAGTATTATTTGGTTCTTTTTCTAATAATTTATTAAAATCTAATAATGCTTCATTATACTTTTCTAACTTTTGATAAGTTTCTCCCCGTAGTCGTAATGCACGAGTATTATTTGGTTCTAATTCTAATAATTTATTAAAATCTTTTAATGCTTCATTATACTTTCCTAACATTAGATAAGCTTCTCCTCGTAGTCTTAATGTATGAGTATTATTTGGTTCTTTTTCTAATAAATTATTAAAATCTATTAATGCATCATTATACTTTTCTAACAATAGATAAGTTTCTCCTCGTAGTCGTAATGGAAGAATATTATATGGTTCTAATTCTAATAAATTATTAAAATCTACTAATGCATCATTATACTTTCCTAACTTTTGATAAGTTTCTCCTCGTAGTCTTAATGCACGAGTATTATTTGGATCTGATTTTAATAAATTATTAAAATCTATTAATGCGTCATTATACTTTTCTAACAATAGATAAATTTCTCTTTGTGACCTCAATGCAAGAGCATTATTTGGTTCTGATTCTAATAATTTATTAAAATACATTAATACTTTATAATTTTTGATGTCAATTTTTTTTTTTATTAATATTATTTAATTTTCAAAAAAAAAAAAATGTTGAGAGAATTTTATCAGATGACATTTAAAAGTGATCAGCTTAAATTCGCTATAAAAGGTTTCAAATGAAATTATTTTTATTTTATGGATTAATGAAGTTTTATATTTAGTCACCGAATGGTTGTTTACGAGAATATTTACAAATCTTCGGTGAAATTTTTAAGAAGTATTTTATAGATAGATTATTGATCGATTATCTATAACCGAAATATTTGCCAATGACTTTTGAATTAATTTCCACTTTGTATTCTATAATTTTTATCTAATTCGCAATTACTTTAATCATTAAATTATTTATGTATAAAATTATATATCAGGGTAAAGAAGGAGCTGGTTATGAAACGTTTGAAACAAGCCAAGCTTATATGCGAAGAAGTTAAAGCTATATTCCATGAAAGGTTTATTGAATTCCATTATATAACATTTTATAATATTTTATAATATTTTATAATATTTTATAATATTTTAAAATATTTTATAATAATATTTTTATTTTGTTAAAAAAATTGTAATATTAAAAAATAAAAAATAAAAATCAATTTAAAATTTGTAGAATAATGATTGAAGAGTATGCAAAATGTTTGTCGAAACTTTCAAAAGTTTCAATAGGAAAAGATGAGATTGGGTAATTTATCTAATTAATTATCTAAATACACATTTATGAAATCTATTTCTTTACAAATTTAATGAATATAACATAATAATATGATGAATATAAAGGATATTACGTAATTCTTTAGAGACAACAAGATTAGAATGGGAGGAAACTGCAAAAGAACATTAACCAAGAACATTAACCTTGAACAAAAAAATAAGGAATGAGATTGAACAGAATTTGACAGATTTTATAACAAGAAAAAAGAGTAAAAAATTGATAAGATTTTTTTTAGTTTTTATTTTTTATTTTTTTTATTTTATTTTTTTATTTATTTTATTTATTTTTTTTATTTTTATTTTATTTTATTTTTTTATTTATTTTATTTTATTTTGTAATTTTTTTCACACTCATATTCATACAAAAAAAAGAATGCTCACAAATATGTATTTTGTAATTACCAAAAAATATAAAGCAATAAGTAATTGTAGAAAGAAGTATCAGAAATAAACAGACACGAACTCTTATGGTTCAAAAGGTCAAATAAAATAAATAAAAATTGGATTGAATTTATATTATATTTTATATTAAATATTTATTATAAAATATTTAGCAAAAGAAAGTATGAAGCAGATTACGCGATCATTACAAGAAGGAATGGTGTAGGCAAATTAAATTTTAAATTATTATTAATATTTATTAATTATTTTATTTTATTTATTATTATTATTTATTATTTTATTTATATTTTATTAATTTGATTTAAAATTAGAGAAAACTCAAATTTCTGCAAAGGGTGCAGGTAAAAATAATCGTTTTTTATTACATTAATTTATTATAAAAATAACGTTGGTGATAAATATATAGTAACTATAATAACCAATTCTATTATAAGGTCAGGAATATATGATTAAAGATGTAGCGGATACGACTTAAAAATGAAACTATGATTGGAAAGAGAATGTGATGTAATTATATCGCTACATATATTTATTGTCAGATTTATTCGTTGTTGGATTTATTTTTATATTAATTTATTATTTGATCATTAAGATATTTCAATATTTGGAAGAAAAACGTTTCGATTTTTTAAAGATATTTTTATGGGTTTATGCGAATCTATATCTATTATATGAGTAGTTGATGATGAGGTAATAAATCTTTTGAGCATTTAATAAATTAAATCTTACGTTAGCATTTGATTAAATAAATTTATTTAATTTTATATATTTTTTTTTGTAAATATAGTCTTGTAAACGAATTCGTATTTCATTGGAGAACTGTAATGTAAAAAAGATATTCAAATATTCGTCAAAGAATGAGCAACTGGACCAGATATTCCAGGTACACATTACTATATATTATTTACTTTACTCGTATCCGCACAAATCTATTATTTTAACATATTCTATATTTATATTTAGATCCACCGGTTTATGTGAATTTTTATGTGGGACCATCAGAAAATGGAATGAGATATAATAAACGTTTATTATTCGAAATGATGAGATAACAGCGGCAACGGAAATTTTAGAAAATGTATATCAAATGTTATTTCCAAATTATTATCATAAACATTATCAAAATACAATTAATAATAATAATAATAACAGAATAGAACAAAAGGAAATGACGAAGTATCATTTATCAAACCAAAATATCGGAAAGAGCTTCTTTATATGATAATACATATGATTCAACGTCTTTTAATATGATGATGATGAATAAAAATGATACACTTCCTCAAACTCCTGATGAAGAAATAGAAGAACCTCTTGATCCAAGAAATCCTCAATTACTTTCAATTGGTTTGAAATGTTTTAGAAGTACAAACGACAGCAGCAGAAGAAGGCAATACTGTAGAAAAAGTTTGTAAAAATGTGAAGAAAATGTATGAGATTAATAATGAACGACAACAGCTCGGATGACATTACCAATAATGAATGATAATATTCAAATAACTATTCCTTAAACTGTAAGCAAATTTGCCCGCAAATTTTTCCTTAAATACAGTATCTTACATATGAAAATCAATGGAGACTTAAGTTTGTGTAATGAAATTTTTATCATAAATTATTGATATGTGATTATGATATAAAAGTCACGTGAAAACTATGTTTGTTTTTCAATAAAGCTCCGACTTTATAAAAATTTATTCTATAATTTTAATTATCTCATTATAAATCAATCGGAGCTATAGGGTAACTTAATAAGAACTGTAAATTTTGTTATTTAGAATATCTTTAATTATTACCGTATTTAAGGTTATGAACTAGAATTTTGACTTTAAATAAGAGCAAAAAACAATAAAATTATTAAAAAGATTAGTTTATCTTTTCCACATATAAAAATATTTTATTGATTATGGACCACGAAAACGATACTAAGTAACCTCATTCTAGAGAATACAGTGCATCTATCATAAAAGTTTAAGATTTTTAAAAAATTAATTGGATTAGTAATTAATGATTTTACTATATAATCGCTAATTACTCATCCAATTTGTGTTTTAAAGTCTCAAACTTTTACAGTAGATGCACTGTATTCTCTACAATAAGGTTAGTATTAATTTCCATGATCTGTAAGCAAAAAAAAATACTTTTGTATGAAGTTACGATCGACTGACATAATTTAATATGTCCGTCGACGTAGCTACATATGAAAGTATTTTTAGGGCTTATGTATCACCTTAAATCATACTAAGTAACCTTATTCTAGAGAACGTAGTGCATCTACTGTATAATTTTTAAATTTTTAAAACGAAAATTTGATAAGTATTCAATGAATTTATTTTTAAAACAATATTAGATACTCTTCGCTCAATTCTTAGGAAATTAGTCTAAAACTTTTACTATAAATGCAATATCTCCTAGATATTAAGGTTACTTAGCATCATTTTTGATAATATATAAGAAATATAAATACTTTTATATATAGAAATTTTCAAAATTATGCAATTATTAAATTTAATAATTTCAAGTAAATATTTATGAGATTTTTATTAAAAAGTAAATAAATAATACCACATTTAATTATTATCGTCTTTTTGGATATGATAGTCTTTAAAACATTTACTTCTATTCTTATTACAACATAAACTAATACAATATAACTGTGATTGTGGAGAATCTTTTAATGCTTTTTGTTGAGCTTTTTTATTTAAATATTTGCACCACACACAACTATTTCTTTCCTCTCTCCATTCAGGAAAGTGACCATCTGATGCTGCTTAATGAAGAAAGTTCTAAGTTGTTGTTATGTATTGATTTTTTTTGTTAGATCAACTTGAATAAATTTAAATTTTTGTGTTATTGTTTCAACATTGCCTCATGTATTTGGTTTTAAGGTTCATCTTCTTCCATACTTGACTTTATTAAATCCCATACTAACTGTAATCTGCAATCTTTATGATTAATATTTTTTCCACTTTTTTTTAAAATTAAATAAGAGTTAATAATTGACAACCAAAAAAATAATGGCATCCAGGTTCTTATTACTGGCAATTGGATACCATAATATCCACATAACTGGTCAGCAATAACCACTCCACCCATAAAATGATTATAACCATCAATTATACAAGGAATTGGTAAAGCTTTTTTATTAGCATCTCCAAATATTGCATGTACTTTGGTTGCACTTGTACTTGTTTATTGAGAATGATGGTATATTCTTTCAATTCTATTTTCATTTTCACTAATTTCATGAATGGTTGTTAACATAGTAACTGACCAATAATCTATCCATAAAACTGCTAATAAATTATTAATTACTATTCCAGATAAGGTATCCCAATCAAGTTTTTTACTAACTTTAAGAATTTTTGAAATTTTCACTATTTGTACAAACTGTTCCACAAGCTCCAAAATTATTGCTGTGTAAATGTTGAAAGAGATTAATTGATAAAAAAAATTGTCCATATATATATTAAGTGATGTATTTAAAAGCAATTGGGAAACAAGATGGTTAACTTTATTATCAACTTTATTTAAATTTGAAAGTTTTTCTAATTCAATGTAATTTTGAATTCTTGAAGTAAAAATAAAAGTAAAAGTATATCCAGCATCACATAGAGAAAGTATTTGTATTCTTCTGGTGTTGGTTTATTTTTATTCCTGACTGTGTGTGCACTTTGACCAGAAAATCAAGCAATCATTCACAGGTCAAATACAAAAGATATACTGTACTGAAAAGGAATTCTGATTTTTGCTGATTTATAATATGGGATGCAATAGGACAGTTGATTGTTACCAATTTTTAGCTGATCTATAGTATAGGAATTGCCATTTGGTACAGTGATTCTTTTGTATTTGACTAGTGATTTCATCAATTGATACATTGGATGATTGAATACAAATTGATTTTGAAACTTTCAAATATGATTTGCCAATGGATCTGATTTAGAATACCAATATAAAGGTTGAATAGAACAGTCTGAAATATGTATAAAATGTTTAATCCAAGTTTTAAAAGTTAAGTTAGTTTAAATAAAAAATTTATTAAATATTTATTATAAAAATTAAAAATATACCTGCTCAAAATGAATTAATGACATAAAAGTAATTATTTTGTGTTCAGGATATTTATCATCTTTATTACAATAATCTTTAATACTAGGAAGTTTAAAGATACCAAAATATATTAAGATAGTTAACCAAATTTTAAAATCTTTTATTGTTAAATTTTCCAATTACACCTTCTCCTGCACTTTTTAAATTAGCATAGTCATTTGTATTTTTTACTATTGTATTTATTTGTTTTTTTTAAAAAAAAGAGAAAAATCAAATAAGGTGATAAAGAAAATGATTGATATTAATGTAAATTCATGTAAAGGTCTTAAATTTATTAAAAGAATGAGGGGAAGGAAGTTGTACATGTTGCTGAGTTTCTTCATGACTTTGACTTTGACCTTTGACCTTGACCTCTATTGGTACCTTTGACTTGAATATCATTATTTTCATCACCTTCAAATATATTTTCTTCATATTTTCATAATTATTACAAGTTAATTCTGTAATATACAAAGTATTATTATTTTGTTAATCAAAAGTTGAAGGTTTCAATTATGAAAAATATAAATTTTTATTAAAAAAAATTAAATAACTGATAAGCCTAACTAGCGATGCATGATGAACAACCCCATCAAATGCTAATTCTACTTCTGCTTTATCATTATTTAAAACTCGATAACAACAATTTGTATCGGTCTTGAAGATTTAAAAAGTCAAATATCATCAGATTATGGACCAATTTTATCACAACAACAACAAATTTAAAGATATTCTTTTATTGAAACCACGATCAACAACTCCTACTATTCCAAACTTCCAAGGTCCGGGGCCAAGTAATTCAAGTCATTAATTATTACAACAACAACAATTGTCACAATAGCAGCAACAACCATTAACAACCGCAGCAACAATTATCACAACAGCAATGACCGCAGTAACAGCAACAACAGTCATTCTTGCGACAATAATCACCTCCTCAATCTCAATATAATACTCTATCATTTGTTAATACTAGACCATCACCACAACAACGACAAAGAAAAAATCCAACAGATTAATCATCTTTATCAACCACAACATAGTCATATTAAAAATAATATTATTAATAGTACTATAAGAACAAATAAATTCGAGACATCATCATCAAGTTCACAATTCATTTGGTATTCAACTTGACATTCAGGTTGAGCTAAACAAGATGATTTAGAATTCATAGCTAATGGCGGAAGATTACCTCAAGAATCTTGAGAGTTAATCAATTTTCTCAAGCTATAATAATAATGGCAGTAAATTTATATTCAATGCTTTTTTTAATGCATTAATGCTTTAAAAAAGGTTAAAAGTTAATGCGTGACATGACACATAATACACGAGGACGGAGTGGAGTTTTCTAGATTTCCAAACGAGTAAATTTACGTCACATAAAAAAATAATATTAATGCAGAATTCGAAACAATTTTGTTTTATCATTCATTTTACTGCCACCGCCGATAATTTGAATAATTTCGTTTATCTAAAAGAGTTTATCTAGTTTATTTATCCTAAATATCGGTATTGATAATGAACAAATAAATCTAAAAATAGTTCTTTTAAAACTAATAATAAAATAACAGTTTCTAAAATACATCATCAATAATATCACCTTCCTTTAATGAAAAGAAAAAACTTTAATCATCATCATCATCAAAAAAAAATCAAATATCGGAATGTTTATTTTTATAAAATCGAAAGTACTATTAGTCTTCTTACGGTTTTTGGAATTTTGGAACCGATGCCACTTTATCTTTTGCCAAATTTTTTACCATTGATAAATGATTTGTCAAAAGATTGTTAATTTATATCAAACAGCCAAACATAAAAAAATTTGTGGGTCTTGTTGGACAGGTTAATATTTTTAGATAACTTATCTGTTATATAGTATATACAGTGCGTTACAAAAGTCTTTGGACAATTTTAAAAAGCAATTGCGCAGTAATGGCAAATTAGATTTACATAAAAATTAATTATTCAGTATTAAATTTGTTAATAAAAAATTTAATATGGGATACGTTCCCCATTTTTTTTTATTATAAGTTCACAACGTTCCTTCATGGAACGTACCAAGTTAATTACAATAGTATGTATATATTTTGCATATATGATGTGAACATAAACTATAAATTATAAATATAAATGCTAATAATAAAAATCTTTATCGGCCGTATCTGAAAATGTTGTACATATTGTTTAATATCGAACAGAATTATTTTATTTTATAATAAAGATTTTTATTAATTATACCTAAAATCTCATTTTTTAAAAATTATTTCCAAATAAAATTATTATATTACATTGATTCTATACGATAATACAATTGTAATTTTTTTCAGATTAAGAATGTATCTAAAGCTGACAAATGATCTTTATCACTTTTTATTATTATTATTACTAATTATACGCCACCGGATCTTTGGCATCAGTAATTTTATTATCAATAGGTTTTGGGATTTTTACAATATTGCTTCATTATATATGTTTGGGATTGAATCATCATATTAAGTTGTTATTTACTATATTTATGACGAATAAAAATATTGTAAACAATACTTATAAAAACACGTGGAATATTTTCCGATTTGAAATGATGTACGATGTTCATTAACTTGTGTGTATTTATCAACATAGAAGTAATTAAAATTGTAAAACCATATGATTTCGGTAATTTTTAATTTCGAAAAATTTTTATTTCACTTTTTTCAATTCTTAACTCTTTAAAATTAAGAAAATAAAATGGATTTATGTGAAGAATGCAATCAAGAAAATACAACCTGGTATTGGTGCAAGCCATGTAATTCAAAACATTTCCAAACCAATATTTATAAATGGACAAGTGGAAATGAAAAAATAGATAAATTTATTCGGGATGCTCAACTAAATGCAGACTATCGGTGGAAAGTAATGGAATGGATACCTTATAATAGATTTAAAGATATTGAAGAAATTGCTAAAGGTGGGTTTGGTACGATATATTATGCTAAGTGGATTGATGGAAGTATTAAGACATGGAATATTAAAAAAAAACAATGGAAAAGAAGTGGTAAATTTGGAGTGGCATTAAAAAAATATGATAATTTAGCAAATTTTAACGAAGAATTCTTAAATGAGGTAAAATAATTTTTGAATTAATATTATTCAAATTTTTTGAAATATATAAAATATTAATTATAATTTATAAAATACATTATTAAGATGGCAATTCACTTGAAATCAATAGATATCTTTAATTGCATCCGAATTTATGGAATAACAAGAGATCCTGAAACTAATAAATATATGATGGTTTTAGAATATATGCCTGATGGAAATCTTAGAGATTATTTAAAAAATCATTTCAATGATATTAGTTGGAATGATAAATTATCACATTTATCTGAATTAGCGTGTAGTTTTAATAAATTTCACACATTAGACATATTACATGGGGATTTTCACCCCGGAAATATTTTATCAAATAATTTCAAAAGGGATTATTTATATGTTTCGGATTTTGGATTAAGTCAAATAGTTGGTCAAAGTTTAAAAAATTCTAATAATAGAAATATCATTGGTGTATTACCCTATATCGCTCCAGAAGTTTTATGCGGAGAAGAATATACAAAGGCTGCTGATGTATATTCTTTTGGAATTATAGTTTATGAATTAATCACTGGATTTGCACCGTATTACGATATGCCTCATGACAAAGATCTAGCCAGAAAAATATGCAATGGATTACGACCAAAAATTCCATTTCATACACCAAAATTAATTACTAGAATAATTATGAGGTGCTGGGATGCTCGAACTACTCATCGACCTACTTTCAAAAAATTGTATGAAGAGTTGTATAAATACTTCTATAATGATTATAGGGAAAATAATTATCAAAATAATAATGAAATTACAATTCAAATCGATAATGCTGTAAAAATTTCCAAACTCCTAATAAATACGACAACTATAAATCCTTATAATTACAAAACGCATCCACAAGCTATTTACACAAGTCGACTTCTTAATTATTCGGGTCTTCCAAAACCTAAAAATGATGAAAATTTTGAAAAAGGCCTTGAAGAAATAACCAAATCTACTTCTGCTTTGAGTGTCAGTAAGTATCAATTATTTCATCATATGCATATTATATGATATTAATTTTTTTATAATTAATTTTATTTATCTTTATTTAGTTGCTTCTGGATCAATTAATATGCGTGTACCTAATTCTTAAATTTATTTTATGCATTTACGTACGTTGTAATTGAGGTTTTTGATTATTGATAAATATAAAGTATTATTTTCTGGCACAAAAATTTAATAATTATTGTTTAATGTATTTTTTTTTTAATTTACTAAATCACTAAGATCACAGTATTATTAGTATTAGCTACAACGAAAATAAAAAATTTTAAATTTTTATTACAACCACAATCCACACTTAATCGCGTTTACGAAGAGTTATATTTGAGATAACATATATGCACATTTGTAATTCAAAGATTGAAGATATTTGTAAAATATTTATCTTACTAACAATTTTATATAATATTAATATTAAAAAATAAAAGTACTTGATAATAAATTTAGCTAGTACTAAAATTATAAAAGCAAGCTGTTTCATTATGCAAAATTTTATAATAAAGATATTTATTAATTATTATTTTTACCTTAAAATCATCATTCTTGTGTATATCCATTCTATATATGCGTAGAGTATAATATACAATTGAGACATGTTATTTTATTTAGATTATTTCTCATATAAAAATTATTTCTTTAAATATTTAATAAAATATTACATAAGAAATATACAATAGCAATTTTTTAAAAATCAATTACAAAATAATCATGATATTATGATTAGATTAAAAATGAAATAGAAAATTTTTCAGATTAAAGAAGTATTATTAATATTCCTTGTCATGAAATTAATGTATCTAAAGCTGACGAATGATCACTATTATTTTATTATTACTAAATGTACTCAACGCCATCCGGTATCAATAATCCATATTCCCCACAAACCATATCTCCACTTGTAAATTATTCAATGAGTTTAAGATTGAATTTTTACAATCCGTAACAAATTAATCTGATATTAAGATCAGGTCAAAAATTGCTTCATTATTTATAATTGTTATTGTTTATGGATATTGGACCTGAAGATGGCATCATCATAATAATAATTAATTATAACATTTATCGTCTATTTATTATATTTTATTGTATTTATGACTTCGAAATAAATAATATAAATACAGCAACAATCATAAAACTATTAAACGTGGAATATTTTTGAGATTATTCCTTTTACGTTACACGATTTGAAGTGATGATCTTATCATTAACTACTTTTAGTAAGTAAGTAAAATTATAAAACCACATGATTATTTGTAATTTTTAATTTCCTCTCTGAGAGCGAAAAAATTTGACCAAATTTATTTCCAATTATTTTACTCATTAAAATTAAGAAAATAAAATGGTTTTCTGCGAAGAATGCAATCAAAACCATTATGGTTGGTGCGAACCATGTAACTCAAAGCATTTCGAAAATAATTTTGATAAATGGACAAGTGAAAATGAAAAAATAGATAGATTTATTCGGGATGCTCAACTAAATGCAAATAGTCGATGGAAAGTGATAGAATGGATACCTTATAATAAATTTAAAGATATTAGAAAAATCGCTAAAGGTGGTTTTGGTACGATATATTATGCTAAGTGGATTGATGGAAATATTAAGAAATGGGATATTAAAAAAAAAACAATGGAAAAGAAACGATAAACTTAAAGTGGTGTTAAAAAAATTTGATGAATTTGCAAATTTAAATGAAGGTTCCTTAAATGAGGTAAATATTTTTTGAATTATGCAAATTTTTTGAATTATATAATATATTAATTATAATTTTTTAAAATATATTATTAAGATGTCAATTCACTTGAAAACAATGAATACCTGTTATACCATCCAAGTTTATGGAATAACCAAAGATCCCGAGATTAATAAATATTTGATGGTTTTAGAATATATGCCTGATGGAAATCTTAGAGATTATTTGAAAAATCATTTCGATAATATTAATTGGAATGATAAATTATTTCATTTAACTAATTTAGCATATAGTTTTAATAAATTTCACTCATTAGATATATTACATGGGGATTTTCATCCTGGAAATATTTTATCGTATGATTTTAAATCTAATAATATTTATACTTCAGATTTTGGATTAAGTAAAATAGTTGGGCAGAATTCAGAAAATTCCAATACGAGAAATATCATTGGTGTATTACCCTATATTGCTCCAGAAGTTTTATGTGGAGAAGAATATACAAAGGCTGCTGATGTATATTCTTTTGGATTTATAGTTTATGAATTAATTACTGGGTTTGCACCGTATTATGATGTGCCACATGATAGAGATCTAGCGCGACAAATATGCGATGGATTACGACCAAAAATTCCATTTCATACACCAAAATTAATTACTAGAATAATAATGAGGTGTTGGGATGCTCGAGTTACTCATCGACCTACTTTTAAAAAATTGTATGAAGAATTGCTGAAATACTGTGATGACTATTGTAAAAACAATTATTCAAATCGATAATGCTGAAAAAATTTCCAAACACCTAAAAAATACAACTACACATCCTTATAATTACAAAAACGCATCCACAAGCAATTTACACCAGTCGACTCCTTAATTATTCAGGTCTTCCAGAACCTAAAAATGATGAAAATTTTGAAAAAGACCTTGAAGGAATAACCAAATCTACTTCTGCTTTGAGTGTCAGTAAGTATCAATTATTTTATAATTTACATTGTATTATATGATAATAATTTTTTTATAATTAATTTTATTTATATCTTGCTTCTGGATCAATTAATACGTGTGTACCCAATTCTTAATATTTATTAATAATCAAAAACCTCCATTACAAACGTACGTAAATGAATAAAATAAATTTAAGTATTATTTTCTAGTACAAATTAAAGTATTTTTTTATTAAAATCCAACGTAAATAAAAAATTTAAATTTTTTACAACTACGATCCACACTTAATAGCGTTTACGATGAGTTATATTTCAAATATCATATATTAAGAAATTTTTTTCGCTCAAAGCATAGTAATAGCACATATGCATGACAAATTTTACATATACATGATATTTACGTAAAAGATTATTTAATTAATTTTATATTATTTCGGTTTCTTTCGTTCTTTTGATAGAAAAATGAATACTTTTTAATAGAACATTATTTATTACTTTACAGCGCAGCATAATAACTACCATATTCGTACATATGACAGTATATTGGATTTTTGTTATAATATACGTATTTGTAATTCAAAAGATTGAAAATATTTATCTTACTAACAAAATTTTATATAATAAAAATAAAAAAAAGTACTCGATAATAAATTTAGCTAGTAGTAAAATTATAAACAAGAATTAGATTATCCTTTTTACAATTGAATTCTTGTTATTATTTTTAGAATGTTGATTGTATTAAATCTTACTAACTTAATTGTATTTGAAGTGTGTATTCGTAATGATCACATGAGGAACCTCCCGAATTACAAAAAAAAAATATCCGAGTTTCAGGAATCACAATGCTAAATCATCAGTTTTAATATTATTAATATTATTCCACAATGGTTAATTTAATCTTCTAAATTAGGAAAAGTATAAAATTTAATAAACTGACATTGTTTTATATTTAGAAACACAATTAGAAAAGGAAATGATTAATTATTATTTATTTATTTATAAATTTGAATGAATGAATAACGAATAATCTTTTATTTACAATGTTTCAAAAAAAAAAAAAAACAATTCTTCTAATGATTCTTTTTTTACTAATTACAAGAATTGCAATGAATCATATCATATGGATTTTGTCATGTGTGCGAGCGAACATTGTACGCGAGTTTTAAAGCTTGGTCTAGTGGAAATATTCACATTTTACATTTTATTGATAAAGTTATCAAAGAATCTTAATTCGATATCAATTACGTTGAATACTTTTATGTTGATTTTCAAATATTAGCAGATGATGAATGTAAAGTTCAATATATTTTGACAAATTAAAAAATTTGATATTGGAATTTTGATAATTTTGATATAATGGATGGCATTATGGTTTGTTAAGGTCACAAATTTTCTTTTGAAAGAATTAAAGGTTTCTATTTCTGAATTTTTTAAAGAGGCATGTCTCTTTACATCTAGATCATGGAAAATTTTAAAATTTTTATTAAACGTTTGCAAATTTATTAATTACCTCAGGTGTGTGTCAGTAATTATGATATTTGATTACATATTGAATGCAGAAATTCGAAATCAAAATAGAAATATCTCTCAACTTTGGATTGCGATTCCCCGAGTCTAAGGAATGGATTAATTTGGATAAAAAAAAATTTGAAAAAAAGATAAATTAGATTTTTGTACTATTTTATATATTTAAAAAAAAACTTATTTTTGTTTGGGTTTTATGTTATTATTTTTTTTTTGGTAGGAAACTTATAATGCATATAAGAAGATACTAAATTCGGTACTTTCATGCATGCACGTTATGCACGTTGACTGGTTGAATATCACTTTGAAAAATTATAAACAGAATAAAATCGTGGGATTGGATAAAAAAAAAAAAAAAAAATAGTGATATGTAAAATTATTCTATCAATTTTGTAAAAACTAACTGTTAATTTTTTTATATTATTATAAAATTTTAAAGAAAAAAAAGTTATTTTATTTTATAGATAGATCATCAATCGATTATCGAATTAGATAAGAGGAAGGTTAATTTGTTCCTTGCATGAAATTGACGGTCTTTATTTTTTGTTATGTTACGTCATGTTTTGATAAATTTAATGTTTATTAATGTGTTCTGCATCAGAATATCAAATATATTGTACTACAATAATAATAGTTATTTTTATATATATTATGTTGAATTTTTTAATTTAATTTAATTTCATATTTATTTTACTTAACATTAAAGTTTTCTTTATATTTTTGAAAGGAAAAAAAAATGTCGGAAGTTCAAAGCGAGGTGGTTAGAGAGCACACACATGAAATATTTGCCAATAACTTTTGGGTTAGTTTTCACTTTGTATTCAATAATTTATATCTAATTCCGTAATTACTTCAATTATTAATTTAAATTATTTACGTATAAATCATGTATATTAGGGTAAAGAAGAAGTTGGTTATGAAGTTCTTCGCACTCGTTTGAAACAAGCCAAGTTTACTTGTGAAGAAGTTAAAGCTATGTTCAATGAAAGGTTTATTGAATTTCATTTTATAATAATGATATTTTATAATAATAATATGATTTTATTTTTGTTAAAAAAAATTTTGTAAATATTAAGAAATAAAAAATCAATTTAATTCATTAATTTTAAAAAATTTATAGAGCAACGATCGAAGAAGAGTATGCAAAACGATTGTCGAAACTTTCAAAAGTTCCAATAGGAAAAGACGAGATTGGGTAATTTTGATCTGATTAATTATTTAAAGAAATTCCATGTCGCTTTCTATTACACATTTATGAAATATATATATTTTAACAAATTTAATGAATATAATATAATAATTTAATAAATATATGAATATAAAGGACATTACGTAATGCTTTAGAGACAACAAGATTAGAATTGGAAGAAACTGCGAAAGAACATATTAATCTTGCACAAAAAATAAGGAATGAGATTGGACAAAATTTGACAGATTTTATAACAAGTCAAAGAGAAAAGAAAAAATTGGTATGATCTTTTTTTTTATTTTTTTATAATTTTTTTTTTCACACTAATACAAAATATCCAAAAAAAGGAATACTCACACAAATATGTATTTCGTAATTACAAAGCAACAAGCAATTATAGAAAGAAGTATCAGGAATAAACAGACACAAACTCTTATGGCTCAAAAGGTCAGAAATAAAATTATAAAAAAAAATTAGATTGAATTTTTAAATATTTAATAATAAATTTTAATATAAATATTATAAAAAATATTTAGGCAAAAGAAAAATATGAGGCAGAATGTATGAAGATTACAGGATTATTACAAGAAAGGAATAATGTATTAGGAAAGGAATTAGAAAAGGTAAATTAATTTAAAAATATTTTATTTATTATTTAAATCATTATTTATATTTTATAATTATTTATTTTATTTATTATATCCCTATATTTTATTATTTTTATTTTATTATTTTTATTTTATTATTTCTATTTTATTAGCTTAATTTAAAAATAGAGAAAACTCAAATTTCTGCAAAAAGTGCAGGTAAAAAAAAATAAGAATCGTTTTTTATTATTTGTCATTATTATTCAACATTCATTTATAAATAAGATGATAAATGTATAGTAACCAATTCTATTATAAGATCAGGAATATATGCAAATGATTAAAGATTTAGCGGATACAACTCAAAAATGGAATTCTGATTGGAGAGGAGCATGTGATGTAATTATATTTATTGTTCTATATTTATTATTGGATTTATTATTGTATTGTTAGATTTTAATTAATTAATTAATTATTATAAAATTTAAAGAGATTTCAAGATTTGGAAGAAGAACGAATCGATTTTTTAAAGAGATTTTTATGGAATTATGCGAATCTTATATCTATTGTATGCGTAGCTGATGATGAGGTAATGAATATTTTTTTGCGCATTTAATAAATTGATTGTTGCGTTTACATTTTGATCATATAATAAAAATTCATTTTTTAATTTTATACATTCATACATATATATATGTTTAGTCTTGTGAACGAATTCGTGTTTCATTGGAGAATTGTAGTGTAGAAAAAGATATTCAAATATTCATCAAAGAACGAGCAACTGGACCAGATATTCCAGGTACCTTTTATATATAGATTCGTGCAGATACGAATAAAATTAAATAATATATAAATAATGACATATTCTGTATTTATATTTAGATCCGCCGGTTTATGTAAATTTTTATGTGGGACCATCAGAAAATGGAGTGAGATATAATAAGCGAGCTAATTTTGAGAGAAATTCTACTGTAGATCGAAATGACGAAGTAACAACAGAAATTAATGAAATTTTGGGAAATGTACATCAAATGTCATCTCCAAATTATCATAATCATTATCAAAATCAACAATATCAAGATCCACAATTAATGCAACAATCAGTTCAGCAGCCATCAGTGGATAATAGCTATAATAATAATATTAGAACAAAAGGAGATGACGATGCATCATTTTATCAAACAATATCGAAAAGAGCTACTTTATATGCCAATACATCTGATTCAACACCTTCTAATATGACGATGAATAAAAATGATGCACTTCCTCAAACTCCTGATGAAGAAATAGAAGAAGATCCTATTGATCCAAGAAATCCTCAATTACTTTCAATTGGTTCGAATGTTTTAGAAGTACAAACGAATATCGTACAACGACAACAAACGGAAAAAGATTATATTGTAGAAAAAGTTTTGGAAAATATGAAGAAAATAGATGAGATTAATAGTGAACAACAACAACAACGGAGAGAACAAGAAATGACATTACCAATAATGAATAATAATAATCCAAATAACCATAACAATAATGATGACATTTCAAATAAGATTTTATCATCTCCTCCTCCAGTAGAGATGGCAATGTCAACGATGACAAAGAATAGCATAAAAATAATTGATAAACCTCAACCAGCGTTACCTAATGAGCAACCTTATATAAATCAATCTCAACAGAATGCACAACAACAACAAAATTCAATTGATCGAAGTCGAAGTAAACAAAATGAACCAAATCCATTAAAACAAATGCCTTCGCAACAACAAATAGCTTCACAAACTAATTTTCATGCTACTAATATTACTACTACTAGTAGTACGTCTAGTAATACTAGCACTGCTAGTACAACTCCAGATGTCTCATTCCCAATAAATCAGTTACCATCACAGCATCCGAAACAGCCGTCACATCATCAATATGCATCATCAACTTCTACTTCTCAAAATAATTTAAAAGCTCATCAACAACAGCAACAGCAATTTCCATCAGGTCCTGGAGATATAAGACGTCAAATATCTTCAGATTATGAATCTGTTTCATTACAACAACAACAACAGCAGCAACAATTTGTATCGGGTCCTGGAGATATAAGACGTCAAATACCTTCAGATTATGGACCAGTTTCATCACAACAACAACAAATTAAAGATAACCTTTTATTGAAACCACGATCAATGACTCCTACTATTCCAAATTTTCAAGGTCCCGGGGATTTCAGACGGTCACCAAGTAATTCAAGTCAGCAATTATCACAACAACCGCAATTATCGCAACAGCAGCAACAACAGCAACGACAGCAACAACAGCAACGACAGCAACAACAGTCGTTCTTGCGACAACAGTCACCACCCCAATCTCAATATAATACTCTATCTGTTAGATCACCACCACCACAACAACATCAAAGAAGAAATTCATCAGATTCTTTACCTAATAATCTTTACCAACCGCCGCAACCACAACCACAACTGAATCATAGTAAAAATAATAGTCTTAATAGTATTATAAGATCAGATACACTCAAGACATCATCATCAACAAATAGTAATAATTCCCTTGGTATTCAACTTGATGCACAGGGTCGAGTCAAACAAGATGATTTAGCTGAAGTATATATGGCTAATGGTGGACGGTTACCTCAAGAATCTTTAAGATTTAATCAAGTTCCTCATGTTAATAATAATTATAATAATAATAATAATTTTCAGCAACCACGTCCAGGTCATGCTCATACTAATAGCACTACTGCTATAACTTCACCAAATTCAAATTTAAATCAAAATCAAAATCAAAAGCATAGTTCTCTTCCTACTACTATATCCAATGGTAGTGGTGGTAATTACATGAGCATACGTCCGGGAAATACTCAACCATTACGTACGGGACAACCACTGTCACCACCGTATCAACAAGTGCCTCAACGAGCACCACCACAATTTACTCCACAACCACAATTAACTCCACAACCACAATTAACTCCACAACCACAATCTGTAGGCAGAAGTAATACAATTAATACGAATACGATACAATCGAATCCTTATCCAAATCAAGCGCAAAATATGAAGCGTTCACAGAGCAGACGAACTCCTTTACCTCCATCACAGGTACAACCACAAAATCATTCGATTCTCAATAATAATTTTTATGCACCTGGGAGAATTCCGCCATCACAACAACAACAACAACAACAACAACAACCACGTCCTCCTAATGCAGTACCAGCTAACAATCAAAGACAACCACCTATGCAATCATATGCTTCATTGGCTGTTGAGAGGCAACAAAATCAACAACAATTGATGCAACAACAACAGCAGCAGCAGCAGCAAAATCAACAACTTTCAAAAAAAATATCATCACCACCACCCAATAACATTCAACAACGAGAACTTAATCAACGTCCAGCTCCTAAATCACAATCTCAACATCCACATCAAAAACCTTCACAACATTCCCAGAAGAATGGTCACAATGGAATACAACGTTTGGACGATGGAACACCAGTTCAATTTTATGGTAAATGTTTTTATATTCTATATTTATTATTATTTATTATTGATTTAATTTAACATGAAATAATAATATTTTTTTTAATAATATATATATATATAAAATCAGTTAAAACTTTGTATGATTATAAAGCTGGTCCTGATGAAATTTCGTTTACAACCGGAGATATAATAGCAGTAACTAAAGTACAAGAAGATGGTTGGTGGGTTGGGGAAATTTTAGACCATTCTAGAAAAGTTAGAGGATATTTCCCGAGTAATTATACAGAAGTATTTAAAGATTGATTTTTATTATGATTATTATTATTTATTATTATTTTATTTTATTTTTATTTATTTAGATTTATTTTAATTTATTTATTAATTTATATCTCTAATATCTATTATATATATATTTTATTATTATTATTAAAGATTTTAATGTACAATAAACTGTAAAATATTATAAAATGTAACAGAAGTCATTATTTATATATTGTATTAAATGCTTTAAATTTTTAAATATTTATATTATTCAAAAACTCGATCTATTCATCAATTTATTATCTATCAAAAAAAGATTTTAAAGTTATTTCTTTTTTAAGGAACAATTTCAATTCCCACACTTTTCGAAGCTTCAATAAGACTTTTACAAATATCCTTTAATTCATAATCTAACATATTTTCTTGTTGATTTTTAATTAATGCAATTTCGTAAACATGTTTTAAACTAATTTTACCTAACGCGCCACCTTTAGGATTTTTAAAAATTGTATCTGAATTAATTCCTACTGCACGTTTTAAAAACCAAGTGATTGGAGGTAAATGAGTAATGAAACTAAAATTATTATTATTATTATTATTATTATTATTATTATTGATATGATTATTGTTATTGTTATTAGGATAAATAGTTATAATAGTAGGTATTGGTATATCAATTTCATAATTTTTGGTATGTTCATTAAATTCTTTACAAAAATCTATAGCCCTTCTATTATGTTGATTAAAGATTGTACTCAAAGGTGGTGTCGGGGTTGCTTTACCAGCTGGTATGATGTATTTTATTTTTGTCGCTTTTCGTGTGATCATTTTTGAAATTAAGATGAAATTGATGTCATTTATATATAAGTATATATTTAATTCACTGAATCTAATTGGTTAAAAAATAATAGCATTTTTAGTTTTTGAGGAAAATCGCTCCTTTTGGGAAAAAAACGATCTTCGTGAATTAATGTAAATACGTAACCATAGGTGTAGAGGCACAGCACTTTGCGATATGATCCTTGACGATCACCATTTCGTTCTTTGCAAAGCCATGTGATTTTCGTGTTTTAGATTTTTAACTCGTCAATTTGAATGATAAAATAAAAAATAAATTATTTTTTTGGCCGAAAGCACTTTTGCGATCAATTTGTCCTTTGATAACTCTTTCATTAAGGTGTTTTTGGATCTTTAATAATAAATACATATTCAAAGTGAATTGCATAAAATTTTTATTTTTTGATATCAATAGGGAGAGTATGGTTTCACCGCTATAAAAAATAATAAATACATATTTACTTATATATTTTGCTCTACGAAATAAAAGAATAATTTAAAAATTGTAAATTTGTATTTTAAGTCGGTTTAACCTCAAAGAAAAAATCGAAATAAATAAAAAAACTTTTCATTTATTATTTTTTTTTTATTTTCTACGAACTATATTTATACCGGAAGAATATGTTTTAAAAGCAGGTAATTTTGTTATAGATTTTTTAATTTTAAAATTTGTTTCGAAAAAAAACGGCCAATTTTTTATTAAGCGATAAGTATTATTCTTGGAGTGTGAACAATTGTTCACGCGGAAAATTAAAGTTCATCTGAATCGACATCCAAAGCATTTCTTGATGATGAGATTTTTTCGTGATTTTTCAAACTTTTGAACATATCTGCATCTTATATAAAAATATTATCAAACATGTCTTCCGAACTAGCTTTACTCAGACAAGAAAATGACAAACTTATGGGTGAAAATATGGTGCTCATGGTCAAAATCGTAGAATTAGAGCAGATTGTAAAAGAAAAAAATGAGCTCGAGGTTAGAATAGCAGAATTAGAACAGACCACAAAGCTAAGTCAAACAGAAAATTCTGAACTTAAAGATAGAATCACGAAATTGGAACAGAAGCTGATATCTAAGAAAAATAGTAAATTTCAGAATAAATGTATTCAGATAGCTAAAGAAATTCTAAATGAGGAACCATTAATTGAGTATTGTCCTCCTCAGAAATACCAAATTGCAATAGAGGTACAGGGGGCTCAGCATCGGCTCCATAGCACTAGCTGGTATAAAAACTTGAGGATGTTGTAAATCGTGATCGGCTAAAAAGATCCCTATGTCAAGATAATGGGATTTTCCTACTTGAAGTATGGTACGATGAAAATTCAGAAATTGTTATTCCTGAAAGGATACAAAAAATTAAGGGTTTCATTAATCAAGCGTTTAAAATTTTCGACCTATAA